CGAGTTAATCGACCTCGTGCCACTACGCTTCGAGCACATCCACCGCAGGGACTGGAAGCACCCTGACGGAAGACCGTGGGTGCCGCACCATCCCCACCCACGCGAAACGGCGCTGCACGACCCTGACACAGATGGCATCTGCAGGGATTGCCACACGCCGACGACGTCAACCAGCGCCGTTGCCGGCCGCGGACTGGCCGCCATCGCCGAAGCAGAAGTCCACGCGCCGCCAGAAGAAGGCATGTCTCAATTGGAACTTGAAGTCACCACGCATGGCGTGTTTGGCATGCCTGAGCACCCTCTCATCGGTCCCCCCTCTCAACACCTTCGACGGATGCTACGCGGAACTGGCGTCGGCACCTTCGATGCGCGTGGCGTGCCACGACCCTACACCCGCGATAAAAGACTTTCTACAGATTTACCCCCATTGGCGCGACCCCACGGCAAAACTCACCGTGGAACAGGAGGAAGAATTGGCGCGCCGCGAAGCAGAAGAGCTTCGCCAACAGAGCCTCGCCGAGGCACGCGGAACATTCGCTTGCGCCGCATGGGGCGCCGAAGCAGAAGAAAGCGCCTCCAATGAAGGGGGGTGGGGGAGCGCCGGCGGATGGGGCAACACCGGCGGAACCTGGGCAACCGGAACCGGCGGATGGGGCGCCGCATCTGGCGGCGAAACGAGCGGCTGGGGCGCCTCTGCTGGAGGCTGGGAGACTTCCCGCGACGAACAAAAGGGGGGAGAATCTGCAGTTGTTCCCCTCGGGCGTCCCCCGCGCCATATCCCACTCGCGTCACCTCCCCCTGACATTCCGCCGCACCGCGATCCCTGGGACACTATCCGCTGGGGCAACGAACCATCAACTCCACGCCGCACCATCTACGAACCTGCTCCCGAACCGCGCGAACCCACTTTCGTCCTCGGAATTATTCCCGGGACCAACATTCCACTCTCTGAGATTCGTGACAGAGAGTTTATGGCGCTGATGCTAACTACCGCGGCAGAAGAAGAAGATGCAGAGGAAGCAGCAGCAGAACCTGCTCCCGTACCTGATGAAGACCCTGAGGAAGCCCGCGCGCGCTATATGCGCACCTCCGGCTTTCGCGCTGACGATGCACTTTGGCACCAGCGCCTCGGACATCCCTCACGCGCAACACTGAAAAACTGCATCGACGCAGGCGTCTTCGCTCCTGGAGCGCTCCTGCGCCCAGATGGCAGTGAAGTGAGAGGAGCGACACATCCGCGCAACTGCACCGTCTGCCCCGAAGCTGCACTAAGCCACCAACCGTTCCCGCTGCTCGAGCCAGGAACGAACCGCTACCCCAAGCTGCACAAAGTGTACAGCGATTTTCTCAACGTGGGGCACTGCGGGGTCGATGACGAACTATACACACTCACCTTCATCGACGCTGGAACACGCTATGTGTGGGTCGCGAACGAGGAAACTCGCGACAGAGCCTACGAGGTGTTCCGCCTCTGGTTGGCGCATGCGCAGCGGCAATCCGGGAAGAAGCTGAAAATTTGGCAATCCGACGGCGCAGCGGAGTTTAGGAGCAATCAAATGCAGACTTACCTGACGCAAAAGGGGATCGAGCATCACATCTCCCTCCCCTACGCACACCAGCAGCAGGGCGTAGCCGAGCGGACGAACCGCACACTGATGACAAAGGTGCGGGCGCTGATGAAGCAGTCAAAGCTGCCGCCGATTTACTGGACCTACGCGATGCACCACGCCGTGCGGGTGCACAACCTGCTTTCAACCACTGCAATCACCGGGAACCTCTCCCCGCATGTCAAATGGACCGGGACCAAGGGGGATACCTCCATGCTCCGCGTGTGGGGATGCATGGTGCAGTACCGCCCGCCGACATCAACCATCGGCAAATTCGCCAGTTGCGCTCGCTGGGGAATCCACCTCGGCATCAGCCACGAGTATAAAGCATGGATCGTGCTGGACCTCCTTAGTCAGAAAACCGCCCACGCTCGCGACGTAATCTTCTACGAGCGCCTCTTCCTCGACCAATTCCGTCACGACGAGGAAACGAACGCGAATCGCGTTTACGCGAACGACGGGCACAGCTACGCAACGCCCGAAGACGAAGCCGCCGGAGCAATACTGGAGCATGATATAAGAGGCGAATTCACATGGGAAAATCGGCGGAGCAGCGACGACGACGAGGACGATTCCTCGGAAGGAGGAATGGGCGGAACAGGCGGAAGCGGCAGAGGCGCAGCACCACCAGCGCCACCTGAACCAGAGAGCGATGACGACGATGTGCAGGAAGTCATCCCGCAACGTCGCCACGACAGCACCGTCTCAGGACTACAGCTGCTCGGGCTTCACACCGCAACCTCGAAGGCGCCACGTGTCATCGAGCCTCGAAACCCGCGCGAAGCTCTCTCTGGACCACACAGCAAGGAATGGCGCGAGGCGATGGACGCAGAGATCAAAGCGCTCGAGTCCCGAGACACCTGGGTATTAGTCGACCGCGCGGCAATCAAAGGCGCAAGAATCCTCTCGGGCAAGTGGGTCTTCCGCGTGAAGACCGCAGCGGACGGAACGATCGAGCGCTTCAAGGCACGCTGGGTGGTGCGCGGCTACGACCAGAGGCATGGATTGACTTCGACAAGACGTTTGCTCCAGTCAGCCGTCATACCTCCGTTCGAATCCTGCTCGCCATCGCAGCTGCAAGGCACCTACCTCTCCGCCAGATCGACGTCAAGAACGCGTTCTTATACGCGCTAGTAGACGCCGTGATTTACGTGGAGCAGCCGCATACATACGGTGAAGGGGACTCGCGCGTGTGCCAACTGCGCAAGTCACTCTACGGGATCAAGCAGGCGCCGAGGCTGTGGCAGCAGTATCTACACAACATCCTGCTTGAAATCGGATTCAAGCAGATGCCGCACGATCCAGGGATGTACCGCCGCGACTTCCGCGGCGAATACATTCTTCTCACGGTTTACGTCGACGACCTGCTCTACACAGGCTCAAACAACGAGCTACTTGAGTAGTTCGAGAAAGCCTTGGCGGGGCGCGTCGACATCACATGCAACTATGAGGTGAAGCAGTTCTTAGGCCTCAACATCTCCTACGCGCCTGAGGCCATTCACCTTTCAGCGGCTAAGTACGCAGAGGAGTTAGGGAAGCGGTTCAACATTTCACCTGCACCTCTCTCAACTCCCTACCGAACCCCTGGACCGAACCACAAACCTGACAACAAAGCCCTACCCCCTGCTGGAATTCAGACTTACCAGCAGCAGCTGGGATGCCTGCTCTTCGCCTCTGTCACCTGCAGGCCAGACCTCTCCTACATCGCAAGTCAGCTGGCCCAGTACTCACGCAAACCAACGGCTGAGAATCTTCTGGATCTGCAGCGCGCCCTGCAGTACCTCGTCTCAACGCCCAAGATTGGGCTATGCTACTCAACTACACCAACCCCATCCTTCAATCTCATCGGCTATGTGGATGCCGATCATGCAGCAGATCCCGACAATCGACGGTCCAGGACCGGCTTCCTGTTCCGACTCGAACCAACGGGACCAATCTCCTGGAATTCGCAGAAGCAGGAGTTGGTTGCCCTGTCATCAGCCGAAGCGGAATTCATCGCAGCAACCGCAGCAGTTCGCGAAGGACTCTACTTACAGGAACTCCTGCAGGAGGCAAAAATTCCGGCTCCGCCCACCTTTCGCCTTCACTGTGACAACCAGAGCGCGATCCGCATCGCGAACAAGCCTGGTTTCGTCAACCGCACCAAGCACATTGCGCTGCGGTATTTCTTCGTGAAGGACGAGGTGGACAAAGGCAAGGTCAACTTGACCTATTGCCCGACCGGTGACATGGCAGCGGACTTCCTCACGAAGCGACTGCCACGCCAGCAGTATCAGCACTGCTCCAAACTCAGCGGCGTGGTCAAGCAGGTCAAGTCGAGCTACGGCCAGGAGTGAAGGGGGGTGTTACGAATAGTAATACCCGAATGTTACTATGCACTCCTTACCGCAACAAAGAGAAGCATGCAGTATCGAGAACGAACGAGAAGTGTCAGACGGTTAAGAATTGACTCGAAGCACTAGACAGTTACAGCACATCTGGACCGTCGGAGCAGACGGCATCGGACAGCTGCAGGCAGGATGGCTTTGGCGGGAACAGTTTCGTAACTGTACGCGCCGCACGGTTGGGAATGAATTTGAATAAGGGAATGTACCCCTTAGAGTACATGGCTAGGTAGGACGTTTCGTATTCCCCTGTACTCTTATTTATATCGTTGTATTTGCATGTTTTAATCATCTCAAGCATTTTACATTCACTCTGCTATTGAGGTCAAGGGCCCACCAACTTCATCTCTTTGTGCGAACCTCCCCGAGTAGATCCTGGCAACGATCAACATTTGATCGCAGCACGTTTTACCCGTTTCATAAACGGTTCCTTCATTCGAAATCACTGCGAGCCGTGGTACACATTTCGCAGCCAGTTGGAGAGGGGAGGTTCTGTGCTTTCTGTCGAAACATATGGGCCCCCGCTCTGCCTTGAACCAAGGGAACGTGCCCTGCAAGACCCGGACTGGGAGTTGGGGGGCAACGAACCACGGCATAGGCCATCGTAGTCCAGCTATCTCAAACCTCCATTGATTTGATACCAGATACTTCCTTTTTAATCTGGTGTATAAGTGGCATGCATGTCAGGATGCCACAGGAAATAATTGCTAGCCTTATGTCAATCACTGCAATGCAAGATATATTTACTACTAACATTCTTATCTAGTTGTACATAGTTAGTCTCGCCTTAATCCCCTAGAGTTCCTAACACCCCCAACTCGAACCGACCTCTGCTGCTTCAGTTCTTGGTTATATCTGGTCCAAACTTCAGAATGGCACTGCGAAGCAACCGAGGAAAATGACAGCCTCCCTGCCGGACCCGGTAACCCTGCCCGTAACGCATATAACGGGGCCACTGGTCGCGGAAACACATTCCCCGAACTCCCATACGCGTTGGTGTATGATGGAGTTAAGGTTTTGTCAGGGTCTGATGGTACGATGCGGACATTTGTGAGGGTGATGTCTCGGCAAGGTACTGTAGTGCTGCAGCTGACGGTGATTCCATCCGTTCCATTACAAGAAGCTCTGACATTGTTGTAGGAGATGTCTTGGATGGCAACAGCGTTTTGTTGCGGCACACATTTGGAGGCATCTACGTTCTTGGTATCACAGTAGAACTGTTGAGGGGAGGGGTGCAAAATGCACAGTATTGATAAGTGGGTGTACAAGCAAAAAAATTACAGTGCTTAAGAGTTTTATTAAACGGTGTAATATTTGCAACGAAGGAGATCGTACTCTGCTTATACGCACCTGGTTTATAACGATAGGATATGTAACATCTGTCATTTGCACGTTCTCGTACGAGACATTGGACACCATTCCCACGCCGCCTTGGTATGTCTTGATGCGCAGGCCATTGTTGGAGCCCCGGAATGTCACATCGCGGATTGTAACACCCTGGATGCACCCTAACGCCCCTTCTGCTCCCAAGCTTCCAATGCTGAGAGGAAGGTTTTGGTTTGGGAGGATTCGGATTGGAAAAATGGGGAGACGTTGAAAGAGTGAAGATGTGGCCCACAGGAAAGTCATGCTTTCTTTCCCTCTTTTTATGCATGTGTTTTTCCTTTGTGGATGTTTCTCCCCTCACCTGATGCCATGGCCATTGATGCACGTGATATTCTCCACAAGCACGTTGCGAGTCATGCCCACTATGGCCACACCATCATCACCTGGAGGTGGGACAGTTGGAGAGTGGGGTGGAGAAGAGAGGTAAGGGAGAGGGGGGAGAGGTAAGAGAGGGGGCAGAGAGGGGTGCATGTGACATTCTTCCCCCTGGAGATGGGTTAGAGGGAGGAAGTGGTTGATATTAATGCAAAAACAACCGCACAAAACATTACCTGATTCAAGCCTCGAATCTTTGACAACGACGTTAGACGAGGAGCTGATGCTGATGCTGTCCGTGTTGGGGCTGTTCCAGGGAGCCAGTGTGCGCACGCCTCGGATCATCACACCCGTGCTGGTCTTCACCTTCATGTGAATCTTGCCAGGATTCCTGTGCTTGTAATGGAGATGCGTGTAGCGAAGCAGGAGTACAGGCGGGCACATGCGAGAATGCGAGCGGATACGAGTGCTTGCCCGCAAATGCCCATTCACACGTGGTTCATGCGCAGGGACGGATTCAACGTGATGTGCAATGCAGCATGCCATCATGCCAACATGTAATCATGCCGTCATGCCATCATGACATCATACCATCATGACATCATGCCATCGTGCCATCGTGCCATCGGGCCATCATGCCATCATGCCATGATGTCATCATGCCATCATACGGTCAAGCACCACACGCATAATCCCTTTCGAGAGCACCACAGTGCCAGCAGCAGCAGCAGCAGCAGCAGCAGCAGCAGCAGCAGCAGCAGCAACAGAAAGGGCAGCAGCACCAGGAACACCACAAGCAGAAACAGGAGCAACAGAAAACGCAAGGACAGGAAAGGACACACACACCAGCTCATGAGATTTGAGCCAGAGGAAGCGTGCACAAGATGTGCACATAGAACCAGAGGGCATGAGATATGCACCAAGCTGACTTGTGAGTTATAAAAAAAAACGAAATATGCACCAATTACATAGCTAATCAAGGACAGGGAAAGACATACACCAGCTCATGAGGTTTGAGCCAGGAGAAAAGGTGCACGAGATGTGCACATAAAACCATAGTGCATGAAACATGCACCAATTTCCGAGCATAAGCAATGCACAGACACTCAACTGCATCAATTTTATCGATAAGCTGTGCGCAAGCCATGGGCATTCACAAGCGATGCACTGAATGTGCTAATGATAGTCATTCACTGACGGTGCAGAGATGTGCAGTGCTTTAGAGAGACACTGAATAATATGCAGTGGAGGTACTTATACAGTGCATGCGCCATGCACCGTTATAAGCGTGTTGTATGCAATGCATAAAATTGGCACCATAGAATTGTTGCCACTCTGGTGAAGGGAGAGAGCTGCGGAAGGAAGAACGGTCTTGGGGGATTCCGAAGTAATGGATAAACAAATTCTAAAGTTTTGAGACAAGAAAGCATATGAGCGTGGTACATGCAAAACACGAGCAGAAGAAGCACACACTGACCTGTAGGTGATCCCCGATACAAGCAAGTTTCGGCAACCCGAAAAATGCATGAGCATGGGGCGCTTGCCCTGGCCCCACCACGCGCGCCCCGCGCCGTCCAAATAACCGCTCCCCGCGACGACGAGGTTATCGATTCCGTCGAATCCAAGCATCGCCCAGGTCTTGCTGCTCTCGGGTCGCGGATACGCCGCCGTGTTGAAAAACGCCTGAATTGCCCCATCGATCTGCGGCGAAGTGGGAATTGAGTGGGAGGTTTTGAATCTCTTCCTCCGCACTTCACAAGTGGCGAAATTTATTTGTTTGAATTAAATAAAGGGTGACTCTCTAAACCCACCCGAACGATCAGTCCAGCGCCGCACGGCCCTTGGATCTCCATCGGAAATATCCGGAACACCGCGTTACCCGGCACGTGCACCATGGCTCGCTGCCTCGTCCGCGCGCCGTACCCGCACGCCGCGGCGAATGCGCGCCTGAAAGCCAACGAGGAATCCCCCCATCCGTTCGTCTGCGCGCCGAATTGCGTAACGCTGAAATACCCGGGGCTCGCGGGGTTCGGCTGGGGATCGTCCGGATACTCTGGCAGAGGTCCGGGATCAGGCCCGGGGTCAGGGTCGGGGTAAGGTTCGGGGGTCGGAATTGGTCTGGGGGTAGGGGTTAGTGGGTCGTTTGGATCATAGGAAGGGGCTGGAGGCGCGGGGATCGGCCTTCCATCGCGGCCCTTGAAGCCGTTGCGCCCAGAAAATACGGGATTGGGCCTCGACCCTCCTCCGCCACCGCTGCTGCCGCCGCCCGTGCCCGGCAACCGCGTTTTCATCTGATTGCCTCCCGCCGGAACTTGCTGCCTGCTGTATACCAACTGCTGACTCGGCTGCTGCTGCTGCTGCTGCTGTGGCTGCTGCGGCTGATTGGTCTGGCCGTTCCCGCTGCTGCGCCCCGCGGATTTGAATCCCGATTGGCCATTGCTGGGAAAGCCAGTGCCACTCGTCAGCTGATTGGTCTGGCCGTTTCCTGCGGATTTGAATCCCGACGTCTGCCCGTTGCTGGAGAAGCCTGTTCCGCTCGTCAGCTCCGCCGTCCCCGCGTTCATCGAGCTGCTTTTAAATGCTCCCCCCGCTCCTCCTTCCGCACTCGATGCGTCCCCGCCTCTTGCGCCTCCCCCTCCGCTCCCCTGTCCGCTTCCCCCACCGCTTCCCCACCCTCCCATTGTCCGCTTGAACTTGCTTTCACTCCCTCCCATGTTCGCCGCACTCCCCTCCCCGTCCTTGGCCATTCCCGCCATTCCACTCCCGACTTGCGCCCGCGCCTTCATCCCATCACCCGCGACCACTGCGCTCCTCATTCCCCCATTCCCGCCGTTGCCCTTATTTCCCCCGTCTCCGCCATTTCCCCCGCTTCCTCCACCCCCTACGCCCTCGTGTTGCTTAACCCAAGCCTGCCCCCCCCAAGAAAACGGACTTCCTCTTCCTCCTCCGCTTCCGCCTCCGCTTCCGCTCCCCGCTCCGCCATTTGCCCCCACAGCCTCCTCCCCGCCGGGGAAGAAGCTCCCCAAAGACCGCGCGTGGAGCGCGCCGCTCGTGCTCCACTCCCCTCCGCTCTTTCTGAACGCCGCCGCGCGCTTCTCGGCGGCACTAGAGGCGGCGGAGGAGGCGGCGGCGGAGGAAAAGGCGGCATCACTGGCGGAAGCCGCAGCGGCCGTGGCTTCGTGGAGAGGCTCAGCTTGGCTGTGCTGCTGCGGCGACACAACGTCTTCCGCTATCACGGTGTGCGCGCAAGCGGCGGCGGAGAACAGGCAACGGGGGAAGGGCGCACAGGGCCATACGGGATCTTGCACCGTTGCCCCGTCAATCTCGGCTTCAATCGCACCGCCGCGTGCGATGGTGAACGACGCGCCGTTCCAGTCGCACTCGTCGCGCGTGCGAGGGTCCCCGTCGTCGCAACCGCCTATTGGGGAAGAGAACGAGGGGGGTGAAGAGGGCAGGGGGAGAGAAGAGCCGGGAGGAGAGGGAAAGTGAGAATGATGAGACAGGGGAAAAGGGGTGCATGTGCTGTGTTACTGGTGACCGAGTAACGGAAAAATCGGTTCGCCCTGTAAACCTGCGTGTGTCGTGTTACCTGCGCGCACGATCGCGCATGTGTCGTCGACAGCGAAACGGCAATCGCCAGTTCTCCGCCGCATACCCGTTGCAGGGCGCCACGCGTCGGCGGCGGTGAAGCGGAAACCCCTGCGGGACGTTGGCGGAGATGGGGGCGAAAAGGGATCATAGAATATTATCGAGAGGAAACGGCGCGCATTTGAAACGGTTGCTAACGGCTGACAAGGAAACGGTGGGCGCATTTGGCATTTGTGCACGACCGAGAAGGCAAACGGTAAGAGCTTCTCAGTCGTCTCATCGCGACGCTTCGAGTACATACTGTGTACGCGTTGCTTGTTCAACGACCACGAACTGGCCCCGCGCGGCGTCGAACACGCACGCGTCCCGCACAGGCAGCAGCCCGCTTCCCGCCCCCCCTACCTCCCGCTCCTCCTGCTCCTGCTGCTCCTGCTGCTGCCGGTACAAAGCCTCCTCCTGTGTTTCCCCCACTGCCCTTCTCTCGTCGTCCTCCTCCACTGCTGCTCCCTCAGCAACAAAGTTTGCACCACCAGGATTCGATCCGGCAACCTTTCCTTGCGTCAGCTCACGGGACGCGATCCCAGCCGTCAAGCCATCGGTGGCGAGTTGATAGGCCGTAGATGGTTCCACATAGTCAACAGGGTCAAGCTGGTCAAGGCTTGACGAATCACGTGAAGTCATTTCTGGGAATCCCAACTCCGTTGGGGCGTCATTCGTGGGCGCGTCCAGCACGTGCAGGCGGTTGCGATGCCACGTGGCGCTCAGCGATTCGCCGAGACCCGACTCGCCGTTCTGGACTATCCCGCCCTTCCAATTCGCGTCGTTCTCTTCCTCCGGGGTGACTGGAAGGGAACGTTGCTGAGTAACGATCGACTCATCGCTACTAGTAGGCGACGTCACGGGCGGTGCGGCACTGGTGACTGTTGTGGCTGTGGCGATAAGGAGCGCGGCGATTATGAGGAGTTTGGATATGTGACCTTTCGAATGCAGTATTCGCGATGAAGGTGACCTGCGTTCACTCATTGTAGCTCGTCTATCATGGGGTTGCAAACGCTTTGCTTCCTTTCTGCTGTCTTTCCTGTCGAAGGCTAATAGGCTCTACAGAGGCCGCCCAGACGCAAGGTGCGAATTAGTGAGCGTCAATCACGCGAAACCGTCCTATTCTGAACGAGGACTGGGTGGCAAAAACGAACCCAGGTAAATCATTTATTAACGTGGCCAACAGTCTTCAGCACCTCAAGGATGTGAGAAGGCAAAATCTGGTAGGTAGAGGAAATGCTGAGATGACAACCCGGCGAATCTCGTAGGTTGTTAAGAAACGCGGCGAAGGTGCCAACGTGCAATGTCCTACGAAGATGCCTGGCCTTACTGGAACGGAAGTGGTGAAGCTCCTACGTCTGTGAATGCTGGAGCGGAGACAAAGAGCAACTGGCACGCTCCGAAGGTGAAGCCTGCTGTTGAAATTCTCGGCTTTGGTGGAAATGTGATGTGGATGGGCGGGGTCGGGGCCGACGCCAAGGCACGAGATGGATGAAAGCATCACCTCGGAAGGGAAGACACGCGCGACTCGAAAGTTGAGTGAAGATTGGACAAGGTTTACACAATGTTTCTACCATAAACTTTTCTCCCTTTTGTTTTCACCATGTAATTGCCAGCGTAAACATGCTACGCTTTGCACCTTTTTTGTAGTGGAAAATCGCACTAGTGTCCGCCTGACTGGTTTACAGACCTTAATTGAGGTCCGGGGTTAGACCCATAAAAAAACTAAAACAATGTGTCAAACTGTGTTCGAATCGCGAAGACAACGAATGATGGAGGGGCATCGTGGGCGCCGGGAAGTGCGGAGGCGACTGGTTACCGCCAATCAAACCGCGAGTCAGAATTGAAAAGAACTCCTATCCTATGTCAACCTACCTCCACCAGATGAGAACCTCCAGCAGAGCGCGCTTCCGGCTTCACATCGCCACCATCCACAAATCACGATGCGCCTCGGCAGAATGAATCTTCTCTTGACATTGACTGCGGTAATAGCATACCGCGAAAAAGGATTACAGTATTACACCTTCTTACATATGGCGTTCCTACATGCCTTACTGAGCCTTCAATTGCAAAGTGCATACATTAGTAAATAAGTCAGAACACACTTGGCTACGAAATATCGACTTGTAGCATCATTTATCTATTCATCGTCACATGCGTCAGAAGTGGTCGTAACGCGGGTGAATGTTCTCACCCGCACTACACGGTTGAAAGAAACCCGTCGAGGTCTCATCGAACCAACCAAACTCTTCTCGACAACATGCAACTGTCGTGCTCCAGTATCTGCTCTATTAGTAGCCTCTGTTTCTCCAAGCCTAACTGCAATGCTGTCCTTCCGTTGCTCGAGTCCCTTTCTATGGCACGACGGAACATGACTCTCCAACTGGCCGTTGCTCTTGTTCCTCTCCCACTCCTCGTTGTTTCCACTACTCCCACTCATGCTCCCCGCACTGCTACTACTGCTGCTGCTGCTGCTGCTGTTGATGCTGCTGCTCCTGCTTGTTGTGCCATCACTAGAGTAAGGGCTTCTGCCTTGGCCGGTTTGGACACCCTCATACCCATCTAGTTTATCCACCCCCTCCATAATCACGTCCTCTCTAGTCACCTCCATAAGGAATGGATTGGTGGGGTGGATAGGGTAGTCGTCAACAGCACCTGGTGGCAAATGCAGCATTCCCTGCTCTTGCTGCTGCTGCTGCTGCTGCTGCTGCTGCAACTGATCCAGCCACAACAGCTGCTGCTGCTGAATGGGCAAGCTAGCCACGCCATGCATGTGATGGGTCGAGGCTGCTGCAACCACAGCTTCAACATCCATCGGAGGAATGCCTTCAGTGTGGTGTTGATCTAATGTCATCGTATAGTCGTGCTGCTCCTCCTCACCTTCTTCCTCCTCATCTTCTTCTTCCATCCCCCCTTGCTCCTCTTCCCTCCTCTCCTCCTCCTCCTCCTCCCCCTCCTCCTCCTCCTCCTCCTCCTCCTCCTCCTCCTCCTCCTCCTCCTCCTCCTCCTCCCCCCTCCCCCTGAAACCTCCCATTCTAGACTCCACCCAGCTCCCCCCTCCAAAAACCTCCTCGTCACCCCTCTCACGCCGCTGTGCCTCACCACAACCAACAGAGCAACTCAGAGAGGCACACTCACTGCCCTCCTCCTCCTGCCGAGGATCCACGCTGGCAGCCACGCCGATACTGGCGTGGAGAGACGAGCCACTCAAGCACCATTCACCATCAACAACGCCTTCTCTCGCAATTCCATCCCCACCACCTGCTGCCGCCGCCGCCGCTGCCGCCACCGCTTCTGCTGCTGCAGCTGACGTTACTGCGAGTGCTGCTGCTGCTGCTGCTTTGCTGGCCAGAGTGTGGTCCAAGCTGTCTTCCCTTAGCACTGCTCTCTTCCATGCAGGCACCCCCGCAGCAGCACCAGCAGAAACTGCACCAGGAGCACCAACAGCGACACCACCAACAGCCGCACCGCCACCACCAGAAGCAGAAGCCACAGTTGCAGAGGCTGCAGGGGTGAGGCCACTAGCCCGAGCAGCAGCAGTGAGAGCACGTCCAGGTGCGGAGAAAGAGGAGGAGGAGGAGCCAACAGGAGAGACTCGAGCCAGCACGCTTCGTGTGTGTTGACCATCTTTCTGCTGCTGCTGGTGGTGCTGGTGGTGGTGGTGCTGCTGCTGCTGCTGCTGGTGCTGATGCTGGTGATGCTGCTGATGCGGGTGCTGATGCTGGTGGTGGTGTAGGCTACTGCTGCCACCCCTGCTGCCTACCTTGCTTGTGGAGTGTCGGGAGCGGGGCGAAGGGGGAGCGAGAGACGCAAGGGAACCCAGAGAGGCAGACACTGCTGAAGCTGATAATTCCGATGCCGACGCTGCCGGCTGTGCTGCCGTTGCTGCCGCCGCTGCTGCCGCGCCTGCTGGCAAAGACCGTGCAGCGGTTGAACTGGCTTGAATGCGGTGCTGGATGGTGCGGTGCGGCTGCTGTCGGCGACGGTGGCTTGGCGTGGAGGAGTGAGCGAAGCGGGTTCTGCTCTGCCGCGTGTGCGGACGATCCCGACCGTCCCTTGAACGACGCAGATGCTGAGTTGGCGACAGTGAGAGAGCGGGACCGGCGAGGAAGGTCGTGAGTGTGCCCTCTCTCTTCTTCATTGCGCCCCCCCCTCTCTTCGCCACTGCCCACCCGCCCCTGCCTAAGGGGCCCCAGACTCAGCTGATTCTGCTGCTGCTGCGGCTGCTGTTGCTGCTGCTGCTGCTCCTGCTGCTGCTGTTGCATCTGGTGCGGTAGCTGCTGCTGGTTTCCCGCCCTACTCTCACTCTTCCCTTGACGCTGCGTCTGCTCCAGTAGCGACTGCCCCGAAGCTGCCGCCTGCTGTTGCATCGGTGCCCCCTGTGGAGCTTCAACTCCCTCTTCCTCTTCCCTCTCCTCGGCCCCTCCTCCTCTCTCCTCCACCCCTTCCCTCTCCTTCATCTCGCCCTTCTCCTGTCGCTCCATCTGCTCCTGCAGCCGCAGCAGTGAATTGTAGTGTCCAATCAAAGTCGCCACATTCGCTCCTTCCAACGCCCCCTGCTCCACTGCCGCTCTCGCTGCCCTCACAGCGCTCTCCACCGCTTCCAACCGCGCTCCCTTCGCTGCTGCCACCGCTGCTGCTGCTGAAAACCGTGTTGCTGCTCGCCTTGCTGCCTCTGCTGCTCCCTTCGCTGCTTCTGCTGCTCTCTGTTCGTCTTCCTGCTGGTTTTCCCCCGGCACTCGCTCCCGCTGCTCCTCCTTCGGTTGCTCCTGTTGCTGCCGCTTCCCTTGCGTGCCTCTATCTCCGTCCTGATATACCCTCCCTTGGGATGCTCTCTCTTCTGCCTTCTCTCTTCCCCCTGATTCTCCCTTTCCTCTCTCCTCGCCCCTCCTATCTCCCCCCAATCCATCTGCTGTTCTCTCTTCTTTCTTTGCGCGGATCTTCTTCTTGCTCTCTCTACGCACTTCGTCGTGTTTCAAAGGCCAGCCAAACTGAACTGCAGGAGAGTGCTTGCGAGAGTGACTGTGAGAGTGGGTGTGCGGCTTGTACTGAGAGTGAGAGTGGGACCCGCATTGCTGCGATGTGGTTACCGAGCCTGCGAAGCTTATCGCTTGAGAGAAGCTCACTGCTGCTTCGGACTCCGCTGCCAAGGCTAGCCGGCAGGCTCGGGCGCTTGCCTCAGCGAGAGCAGCAGCCTCAGCAGCAGCAGGTCCGGGAGCAGGGGTGGAAGGAGCTGTGACGCCAGCAGCACCAGGTGTGACGTCATTGCTGCCGTTGAGAAGGTTCCACGAGGCAGATTGCTGAGTCAGGGCCTTATACGCGTTAAGAACCTCTTCACTACGTCCGTTGAGCACCGGTTTTTGCTGAGAGTCAGGTTTATAAGCACTCCGCTCCCCCTCCTTGTTGTTTGTCCCACCAAACGTCCCAAGCACTCCAGCTTTCGCTGCCCCTTCTCCCCCTTTCTCTGCTTCCCTTCCCCCTCCGCTTCCCCCTCCGCTTCCCCCTCCGCTTCCCCCTGCCTTCATCCATCCCCCCCAAGAGATGCTTCGTTTCGGTTTCCTGCTGTACTTGTCGTCTTTCCCTTCACCCACGCTCCCTCCGCTCACGCTGCCCGCGCTACTACCACCTCCGTTAAGAGACGTACGCGACGTGCTCCTTCTGGGAAACAGCCTGCACGTCATTATAACGGGGCCATCGTCACCGTCGTTGCTGTCATCCGCATTATAAACGCGACGGACGCGGCTCCGCAGAACCTCCCCCGTTCCTTCCGCCAACGCCTCGTCATCCCCCTCCTCTGCCGCATGTCCGCGCGCCCCTTCGCCCAGAGCTTCCACGCGCTGGTCTCCCGCTACTGCGCCTACGCCAGTGACGCCGATGGTGGCGGTGCGGGGAGGGGGGAGCGGATGCACGGCGGAAGGGGAGGCACTTCCGCGCCGAGATGCCCCCGCGGGGGAACGTAGCCAATCAGCAGCTGCCAGCGCAGCAGCGCCGAGCGAAATGGAGCGATGGATGCGCTGCTGCTGCGCCTGCTCGTGCGACTCGTGGGGCTGTTGCTGCTGCTGCTGTTGCGTTTGCTGCTGCTGCTGTTGCTGCTGCTGCTGGGTCTGTTGCGGTTGCTGGACGTGCTTCGTCGCGCCGAATGATCCGTTATGGCGCGCCCCGATACTAGGCCTTCGAGCCGGCAGTGTCGTGGGGGCGGGTACGTATCCGTTGGCCGCAGCAGCGGCGCCTCTGGCACCGTAATACGCGTTACAAGGAATGTCATCACCAGCATTGGCCGCCGCAACTGTCGCCGCCGCCGCCGCTGCCGCTGCGACCAGATTCTCCTCTCCGAAGGGAATCCCGCCGCTTCCGCCGCTCGCGCTGTCCCAGTCGATGACGTCATGCTGAGGTGGCGTTACATACCCGCTGCCGTCAATCTGACGGGGCGACGACAGATCATTCGTTTGTAACCCACCGAGTTTGAGTGTGCTCACGTCAAGCGGCGGAGCCAATAAACTGCTGCCACGTAGACGGGGCGAAAGGGAGCTCACGCCGTTTCCGCCACCCCCATCGCCACACGCAACCACACCGAGGCTCTGCGCGCACCCGCGGGGATCCTCGCGGAACGCGGGGGGACCGACGGCGGGGGAGGGGAGGCGGCGCACGCCAATCTGCAGGGAGTTTGGCTGCGCTGAGCGGGGAGACGCTGGGCGGGGGGAAGGCGGCCGGGGGCGCGGAGAATGCTGCGCGTGAAGGCGCGGGGAGGGCGGCTTCAGTTCCGCGCCTGGCCCCCTTCCATTTTCCTTGGCCCCCTCTCCGCTCACCCCTCTTCCCTCTCCACTCTCCCACGCAGCAAAGTCCGCCCAACCTTCCCCTCCCCCACCCGCGCAACCTTCCGCGCGCCCACCCGCGCAGCCTCCATCGGGAAACAGCTGAACGCGCACGCCGTCCGCGTTGACACCAGCATCCGCGGCTTGGAGTGGCGCGTTGTTCCGGTTACCCGCAGCCCCCGCGCTGACGTGGCGCTTTGGGAACGAGCCTGAGGTTTGGCTGGATCCCGAGCCTGATCGGTTGGTCGATAGAAGCGCGTGGATTTTGGAGGTGCTGTTGCCAGGTGTGGTGGGCCCTGTGCCGGGGTAGTCGCCTCGGGAATACCGGTGGCTGCAGCAGGGGGAGCGGGGAAAGGATGGGTTGCGGGGAATGGAGCATGAGCGTGTGTGCACCATGGGAAGGGAAGGAGTGGGAGAAAAGCGGGAGGGTGGGAAGGAATGAGTCAGCCAAAGGAATGCAGGGGGAGGGGAAAGAATTCTGGAGCGGCATAGGTATTGAGATGAGGGGAAACGATATGGCATATAGAAATCATTAGTATACCAGGAAGTGTAACGCGTACAGTACGGGTCACAAGCCAGCCACAACTATGATAGGAAAGATGTATTCACGTAGCGGACCTCATAGGAAGATCTTCAGTGAAAATGGAGGGTGACGGATTGTCGTCCGAGTCGGAACCGCCGGTGTATTTTTTAGGCGCCTCGAAAACGGAGGGGGATAAGCTGTCGTCCGAGTCAGAACCCGCGGTGCGGTCGAAGCAGCTAGTCTGCAGAACCGATTCGGGCGAGCTACAGTTGACGCTAAGAGGCTTTCGTCCCCATTCCGGTACCACGGACCGTTCGTTTCTCTGTGCTTCTGTCTGTACTCGCGGCTGTGCTGGGGGGTGTGCTAGTGGCTGTGCTAATGGCCGTTCTATTGGCTGTGCTGTGTTCGAGGCTGTGGGCGAATACATGTTCTGCTCGAGACTACTAGTAGTCAGCGCGCATGGCGGCGGCGGGCACCGGCAATGGCGCCTCGCCGTTCAAACGGACTAAAGCGTCGAATGTACGAAGGTTTTGGTGAGTACTGCGAGCTCTGGAGGTCCGAATATCGGCAATGGTGGGCGATGAGAGATCCGAGACTTCCGTTGAGAAGATGAGATCAAGCGAGAGCAAATGGAGGATGAGAGATTGAACAACAGAACATCAACAACGGGTGGTGAGGCCTTGCCTAGCGTGGAAGTACGGGTGGGAGGTGATGCGAGGAAGGGATGGTAGGGAAGACTCTGATGACGAAGAGGCGAAGGGGATGGGAGGAGCGAGTGTGAAGACCGAATTCCCGAACGTCCACATTTGAATGCCTCGGGTGGCGCGAATTAAATTTTGGAGGCGCGAATTGTTGATATGCGGTTTGAAATTCGCGGGCCGAAGGAACTCCGTACATTGCGCTGATGATGGAACCATTTTGGTCATCTTGCGGTCAGTCTTGACATATCCTAAAACGAGGTAGGGTTGCGGGTCTCACTCGTAACAAAGAGTTAGAAAATGCTGGCGCTTGCTGAAAATGCTTTGAGCCACTTACATTCGAAGCGACGTGCAACCTCTCAGTTCGATGCTTGATCATACGCGCCCACATAGGTTTCAATGCGCTGAAAACTCTCACCTTCCAGCCCTGAAATACGGGAAACATCGAAAACTCTGCACCTTCCGTGGGCCTTGAAGTGATGCCAATTCCGTACGGCTTCACGACATTCACGGCCACGATTCGTGAACGTTGGCAGGCAATGAAAGAAAAACACCTCAATGATCAAGTACAATAGCAACGTATGATTTTATCAGACTATGCAATTTGAGCTCCAAATGTGCGTTGGGCTAATGCTGCTCACTAGGTATTTCATAAAATTTCTACCAGCAACTAGTGCTAGTGTATTCATCGTGTGCGGATTCAACATTGTTGCATGGTAAATGCTGGTGCCTAAAGCACCGGTGGCAATGAACAGGTAGGAGTACCACCAAGTGTGCGCCGAAGTGGTGGTCGTAGTGATGTCGCTTTTTGAAGAACAGATGTTCGTGCTGCAGCAAGACCAGCTGAAACAGCCTAGGGACAGGGACTGTGCTGTGTCAGGAACGCTGAAGAAGCACTGGCCTTACCATTGGCAATGGCTGACAAGAGAAGTGGCATGAGTTTTGGTAGCGGCCTCGTTACATCAGAGGAGCCACCAAGCAAATCGTTGGGTCCAGAGGTAGCATGGGCTTGTGGGAGCGTGGGCGATGGAAGCAGAGGAGGGGCGGGATAGGGTTCACCGCCGAGAATGGCAGCTCCTGCTGCGCCACCAACCACGACCTGCTGCCAGTTCTCCATTCGCATGTATTGGAGTGGAGCTCGTTGCATCGACCCCTGTGCCTGGTGCTTCCCAGGAAGAGACGAAAGAAGTGGCACCTGCTGCAGCTGTCGGGCCATCAGTTGCATTGACGGCTGCTGTTGTTGCTCCTGGGCTTGGGAACCAGAAAGTTGTTGCTGTAAATGTGTTGTTGTGCTCCCTGGCTTGAGCCGCCAGACGCTCCCTCCAATGCTCACCACTACAGAGCTGTTGTTTTCCTTAAGACAATCTTCTGAAGACATGGCAGCAGCTGAAAGTGCCCCGCCTGCAGTTTGTGGAAATACAGCGCCAGCAGCATTCACTCTCGCTCCAGCAGAGAAACAGGACGGCAATGTCGTGTGCAGAGATGACAGCGGCTGGCTAATAAGCTGTGTAGCTTCAGTGGGCAGAGCTCTGGCAGGTGCTGTAACAGGTAGAGCTGGCGAAATAGCTGGTGCTTGGCTGGCACTAACCCAGGCAGCATTGCTGGTTGGAACACAGCTGTTGAGACTGGTGCCATTCTGGTTCTCATTCACGCAGGTGCCAGGTGCGTCGGCCTGCAGTGGGTAACCGGTACCATGTGCGGTTGGCGTTGCCTGCTGCTGCTGCTGCTGCTGCTGCTGCCTAGGCTGATGGCGACTGCACTGACATGGGTACGGGGGAATGAAGGAAGGAAGAGGAGCCAAGGGAGTGGAGCCAAGAGAAGGAGGTGAGAGTGTGAACAGCACAGCAGCTGAAGCAGGAGCGTTTGAACGAGCGGATGGGATTAGCGGGGAGGAACGTGGTGAAGATGGAGTTGCAGGAGCGAAGGCTGATGAGATGATGGTTGGGCTAAGCGGCTGCAGCGACAGTGGGAGGGGCGGAGCCAGGGAAGGAGCTGTGACTGCAGCAGACATACTGCCAGCGGATGCGTGGCCAGCAGATGAGCCTCCAGCGAAAGTGTATTCAGCAAATGCTTCTCCAGCAGCAGAACCAAAGACTGGAATCAGCGAAGACTTTGGAAGTTCTGCAGGTATGGGCATGGCCGAAGCTGCATTTGCAGCATTGCAAGACGGGTGAGACAGAGGGAATGATGGGAGCGTGGAAGATGATGCATGCGTGACGCTGAAACGGTGACGAGCCACGTGACGCCTGACAGGAGGAGGTGCAGGCAAATGCGTCTCTTCAGGTAATGTTGTGCATGGATATGGATCTTCTGTTGCTCCTGCCCTGTCAGCAGGCGCGTTTAAGTTCTCTGCTCCTGCTACTGCTGTTGCTGGGGCTGATGATGCTGCAAGTTGCAACAGTGATGCGATTCCCGTGCCAGCACAATTGTTTCTCTTGGAACTTCTGCCACCATTTCCGGGACCTTGGCTGAACTTCCCCAAGAGGTCGTTGTCGTTGCATCCCAGTGAACCTAGCGCTGCGTCACGTGATTCAGACGCAATGCTCTCTGCTATCGCTTCTTGTGAAAATGAAATATACGATTTGACGTAAGCACTCACTGAGATTGAGACGATGGAAGTCCTGGAACAGCTGTGGCTCGGCTTTGATTGCTGTCACGCATGATGGAGCATTGCAGTTGTTGATATGATCCACCCATGGCCGAGTCTCAACAGGATCCAAAGGGACAGTCTTCATTAGGGCAGCCGAAGCACCCTTTGCTGCTTGTGTGGGTCCTCCTGCACGAGCGACAGCAGATCTCTGCAGGGAGATGGTACCGTGTCCTGCAGGCGTAGTAGCATTAGACATCTTGGTATTAATCGCTGGCATCGGGAGGCGAGGAAGTTCTGCCATGATGCGCTTGCATATCAGCATAATCTCTTTGTGAATAGCAGTTTTATGAATCCGGTTAGCCGTGCCAACGCATCGCTTCTCGATGTCAGCTGTTCTGGACGCGTATCTGCGGGTCCAATCAAAGTTCAGCCGGGCTCTTGCTCCGTTGATGGACAGACAGGCGATGTCACGAACGAACGCTGCTTCCTCGGGCGTCGTGAAGGTTCCAAGCCACAAGCGAAAAGTATTATTCAAGCCGCGAAGCTCCGACGCCCATGTTCCCCATGCCCGACGACGCACACCTAGGAACCGTTGATGATCGGGTACTTCTGCGGATCGCCGTTGTTTCTTTGCCTGATTCTTGGCAGAACCAACGAAGGTTGTTGAGCCTGCAGCTTCTAACGCGTCTGCACTTCTCCTGGGACCATCGTCCACTACATCTTCTTCGCAACCAACTGCTTCTTCTCCACGTGATCTCTTCTCAGCCCGAGGAGTAGTGGCCTTAGAAACGACAGTCTCTGACATATTATAAATAGGTATTGTTGGCTCCAACCGCGTCGCTTCAACCATAAATATGTCGAGCTTTTTCGACAGCTGATTCGGCCGGTCCACATTCACATTCGTTCCTGCAAACCAGAAGTCTCGTTACAAATGGTAGCCGACGATAAGTTAGCAGCGTAGCGTAAAAATTTGCCCGCATTCCTAGCACCGTGGTGCAAGAAATTACCTGCATTCCTAATGAACAGCTCCGTTGACAGCACTCGTCTGGCTCGCTGTCATAAATAAACTCAGATGTGTTCCTACTCTGGGAAGTCACGGATCCTTGTGGCACTGACTCGTTCCTAGCTGGACATTCCTGCTAACAAAAGGAATTTCGCACATCTGTGCGGAATGGGAGATGTGTTCAATGGCATAGGGAACTGGTTTCAGGGAGCAGGTGATCAGAGAAATGAAGGGGGGAGTCAGGAGATGACAGAGGGGAAAGGATGGAGAGGATGGCATGACAGTCGATTTGGGCCTCGCGGCTGGTCGTGGCCTGACGGCAAGTTGAATATGACTGTTCGTTTTTCGAAAATATGCATCCTTATGTGGGCATCTACACTTCAAAAAGCATCTTTATAAAGTGAACTGGACAATGGTATTGCTGGAATTAGTTATACCGAGAAAGCAAAAGGTCAGATTGTGATCATAAGTATAGCAATAACACCGTCCCCCACTACACAGGCTGCCTACGAAGAATGACTAGGTACAGTGGACATCCCTTTGCTTCCTACCACTTAGGTCAGAGAAACATGCATCTACTCATCTGCGTGTGCTGCCGAAACAGGTCAATCTGACTGTCGAGAAGCGTGATTAGACTAATGTGAACCTGAGGCGCCACCCTGGTGGTACAGCTGGAGGGATTGCTGCATTGAATGTGCTGCCCGTAGGTGGTTGTGCTGCTGTCGAGGTGTATGACTTTCATGACGACTACATGTTCCACCATGGTGGCTCAGTGCTGCAGAAGTTGTTCCTGCTTGGGTGATGCAGATGCCGCTGCCTGCTCGAGTGGTGGTGATGCTCCAGCCTGCTTCAATGCTGCTGATGCCTCTGCCTGATTAGGAGGTGCTACCAGGTGCCTGGTTGAGAGGTGTTGGTGCTGCTGCATGCTGACCAGGTGTTGGTGTTGGTGCTGACCAGGTGCTGGTGCTGCGACATCCTGAGGTGCAGAAACTGATGCTTGCTCTACAAGTACTGATGCTGCTGGTGCTGATTCGAGCTTGAGAATTCCTGATGTAGCAGCATTCAGATTAACTGTTGAAGGAGCTGCAACCTCAGGAAGTGCCGAGACCATTACAGGCTGAAGCAATGCTGGTGCCGCATACATGCTTGCCACAGCTGGTGGAGACACGGGACTGTACTGCACCAGGGACACTGCAGAAGCATTGGACTTGCTGTTGGCAATGGCTGACAGAAGGAACGGCGTGAGCTTTGGTCGTGGCCCTGTGGGGTACTTAGATGGAGGCGGACGAGGAGGAGGTGGGAGAGGAGGGGACCTTCCGCCCAGAATGGCAGCACCAGATGCACCGCCAGCCACCTCCTCCTGCAACTGCTTCCGTTTCTCCTTCTCTTGCTGCTTAGCTGGCAATGGCACCCGCAACAGTGGAGTTTGTCGCTGCTGTTGTTGTTGTTGCTGCTGCTGCTGCTGTTGCTGGCCTCAGCTCCCGCTGCATTACACGCTGTGGCTGTCCTTGTGGCAACAGCAGCATCCGGTGCTGTGCCTGCGCCTGTGGCTGCTGAGGCTGCTGGTGGGCCACTGGCTGGTTTGATTGCTGATGCGGCTGTGGCTGCTGAGGCCAAGCCTTGGATCCCAAAGGCTGCTGTTGCTGTGGCTTGTCACAGGATTTGAGACTCCACGCAACTCCCACTCTAGGCATGACCAACAGGTGGTGGCTGTTCTTTGCAGGGCTTCCAGACGCTGCAGCAGCTGTGGCAGGAATAGTTGCGGAGGTAAGAGGAGCAGCAGGCAGTATGCTGGTGTTGGTAACTGTCTGCGCCCTGTCCATACTGTTGCCCGGCGTTCCATTGTGAAGCGAGACGCCTCTGCCTTGTGGAGGCGTCTGTTGCTGTTGCTTGAGGTGACAATGGCAGCAGCACTGGCACGAGTTGCTGGTAGCTAAGGCAGGAGGGGAGGTGCTGAGGGGTCGATGTGAAGGCAATGGAGCAGCAGCAGGAGGAAGCTGCAAGCGGAGAGAGGGAGCAACTGTGGGAGGAAGTGGTAAAGCCCGAGGTGCAGGAGCAGAAGCTGATGGGGCCATGGCTGGGCTAGGCTGCTGCATTGGAAGTGAGAGTGGCGAAACCATGGAGGGAGAAATACGTGGAGAAGAGAAACCGCCAGCAGTAGCAGGGGCTGGTATCAGCGCTCTCTGCAAAGGCATGTCAGTGCGAGGTGCAGCAGCAGCGGGCGATGGAAGCATGAGCGCCTGTGCCTGCCTGACATTGGCGAGAGAGTGAGGCAGCTGTGATTGGCTTGGAGGTGCGCACATACGGGTAAGGTTCGGGTAGGAGAGAAAACGAGCAGGTGGCTCGGCAGCTGCAACAACAGGGCGTGAACATGGCTGTACAGTTGCTGTGGGGACTCCAGAAGCTGCTGGTGTAGCTTGCGCTGAGAATGCTGCAGCTGGAAGGTGGAGTGGTGCTGGGTCTTCTGCAGACTTTGGGTTGCTCTCAGTCGAAACAGGACTGCCTGATACTAGATGCAGTGGAGACATGGGGGTCTCCTCCAGGAACTTGGCCAGCCCGTGCAACTCAGGAATAATCCTGTCGGCATAATCATAGCCTGCATGACCTTCACTTGTGTCAGAAAAAGTACCAAGAGAAATTCCACTTGAAGGAGCAACATTGGTACCATCTGAGGTGGTAATGAGATCAACGGCCGCAGAGTTGTCCCGTGAGTCAGCGGTGCGGATCGAGTCGCCTTTTGAAAAGTCGTGGTTATGTCGGTTACCCTGAAGCATACCAGGGTCCTCGCACTCGTCTCCATCTGCCAAGAAATGGTCGACGATGTCTGCACAGCTTCCTAAACGACAAAGCTTCTTCCCGGCATCAGTCTGTGTTGTAGCGCTTCCGCTCCCGCCTTCACCGGTGAGACAATCTGTGACCGTGGTAGTTGCGGTTGTGGGAACTGCAGTGAAAGTATCCGTTTCAATGTACGAGCTCCAGTCATCCATACCACCACCACTGACATTTCCTCCAAATGTACCGCCACCCCCGCCATCGTGGAAGCTGAAAGTGGCTGCTTCCAAACTCCCCTGAACATTTTCACAGCCGCTCCTTGATGGTTGCCACGAATGGTCGTCGCCAAATCCAAGGGGACCTGAGAGATTATCATGTGAGTTACAAGCAGCACTCTTGCTGCTGCGACGTAAAGCAAAGAGGGCATCAATCTCGCTTTCGGGATTTTCACCATCTGACTCACAATAAATATAATGCTGCGCCTTCTGAACCAGCTTCTGTTCGGCCTTAATCCCAGTCACTGACGGAGCCTTGTTGCTGTATACCAATGACAGTCTCGGCCTGGTCTCGACGGGTGCAGGAACCGAATTCATTCGTGGATTACTGGAAGTCATCTGGGCCAGTCGTCGCCGTGCCGCCGTTTCCGCCAATAACTCAATACGCTGTGAGATATGATCAGGTCCTGCCGATGCAGCGACAGACGGTGCAACATTGATCGACCTTAGCAGATAAGCGTATCCCTGGGAGTCAGCAACGATGTCATCAAGAGCTCCTTCGTCAATAAGCCGAGCCGTTTCTTTCGCGAGAGCAGTCCGAAACGCCGGGCCGACTACTCCACCGCATTGCTCCCTGATGTCAGCCATGTTCGATGCGTACATGCGACTCCTCTCAAAGTTAAGCCGGGTGTCTGCTCCACGGATAGCTAGAGAAGCTGCGTCGTAAGCGAAAGCCGCTTCCTCAGCCGTCGTAAAGGTTCCGAGCCATAAGCGGATGTTATCCGTGTCACGAATCTCCGATGCCCATTTCCCCCAAGCACGTTGTCGCACACCACGTAAATGAAAGTGAGAACATGAAAGGACCGTTGGAGACCTGCGCCGCTTCTTTGGCTTTTCCTTGACTGAATCGACGACTTCTTTGGAGCCTTGCGCGTCTGACTTGTCTGCATTATCCTTTAAACCGTTGACCTGGTCAGCTTCATGTTCCAGACCGTCTGCTGCGTCTTCACGGCTTATACGCTTCTTCGACTCGACGTTACTGCCTGCTCCAGCCGCACCGTCTTCTGGTTCAGTCTTAGGACAGGCTGATACTCTCTCCTCATCCATAACAATGTCCACCTTCTCCGGCGGAAGTAAGCTGGTACTGTCCATGTCGCAAAAAGCAATCCTTATTCACAACAGCGCAAAAACAACATGCATACGCCAAGATTATCCTCTGATGAGATGCTAACACAGCGCCATGGTGGCTCTTCAGATGGTCCTCAGGAATGTAGCATCGCCTGAGAAGGATGGACGGTTGTTGTGAAAATAAATGACATGTCCCTTCAAAACTCTTCGTGCAGCAATCCTCCTCCTACGTCAGCCTTTCTAGACACTACCACGCACCTAGCAAACAATCAGGCTTCCTGAAAGACTTTTATGAAAAAATCAGAAGCCTGAACTCCTCTAATCTGTAACAAGTGCTTGGCAGGATATATCTTCAGGAAAGTCAGAAAAGGCCTAGACAGAGAAGGAGGGCGTCACAGAAGTTCACTTTTTGTTCTGTCTGCACGGTTGAGTACGATGCCGCGGAATTTAAAACGGTGAAATAGCATCACCGTATTGAACCGCTACAAATCAGTCCGAAACATGGTACATGAATTGAGGGGGAACCCATGCGACGCGCATCAGGCAAACAAGCATCAGAAGAAGTCAATTCCTGATGGTGGAGGTGGTGGTGAGTCGGAAAGGATGACCTTGCTCCCTTTTTCGCCTGACATTCAGAATTCCGTCCGAACATGTCTTCGCGCTGGACACTTCTGATTGGTCGGAAGAGGGGCGAGAGGGGCTGCGAGAACATCCAAGCGCTGGGTTAGGCGAAAATTCAGAGGTCCAACAGTGCGCACTGTGCACCGTCACATTGTCAAGAGAAGCGACACGGTCATTGGACCCGTACTGTACCAACGTGACGACGTTTAGGGCGTGTGAGGTCGGGTTTGAAATTCAAAAAAAAGTGCGAACTTTGTGTGGTTACCAGTTTCGCCAATGTCGCATAAAGCTACGAGCGAAACTTCGTCAACTGTGGGGTTGGCAACATGCGAACTGCAAAGTTGAACAAGATTCGAGTTTTAGTTGTGAACGTGCTTCGGCATGTTCACATTCACGTGTGTGATTTCCCGCACGTTCGAGCATCTGGCGAAATGTGCGAGCGACTCACGAGTAGCAACAGTACCAAACGAACTCACCACAGCCTTCGTGTACTGAATGGAGGCCACGTGGCTAGAATCGTGGCACGTTCACCCCATACCCCAACGACTCCAAAGCCGTCTTGACGGACCACTCCAAAATTCCCGCCAACCCCCATGCCACGTCGACCCAGCCACATTTGTGAGAATTCGCGCATCGCGCGTAGACAGTTCACATTGAAATTGCAACATTGCAGCTATCCCACTCCACCTAGAAGCAGCCATGTCCGCAAACACCAGCACTGGTATCTCTGCCACACCCACGAATCCTTCCGCGCCAACAGCTACAACCACCGCAACGGCCGCCACCCCCGTCCCTACTCCTTCGCCTCACAGACGTCGGCGTGCTGCCGTAGATCCTGCTGCTTCCCGACGTCTCGACGTCATTGATCTGGACTCCATCGTCGCTCGTGTTCCAGATCCGAACACCCCACTGGGCGCCGAAGATGACACCCTTGCCTACTTCGATGCAGGCGAAGTAGACTGCGACATTGACAACGCGGCCGACGACGACAACGACGCGACGATGCAGAGCGACAAAAAGGGATGGCATGCGGAGGAAGTCATGCAGCTGGCATGGATCCGCCACGATTTCGCCGAGCAGTACTGTAGCCTAAACCGCCTCCAAGGCCAGAATCGCGACGTCATGCTCTTCGAGCAAGTACGCGCTCGTCACCCGGGCTGGCGCCATAACCTTGCCGCTGTAAAGGCGAAGGTTTTCCGCATGGAGGCCCAATACCTAAAGGTGGCCGATCTTTTGATCAAACCCTCCGGTAAGGGTAAGCCTCCCAAGGTCCCCATTTTTTTCGACGTGTTTGACAGGTTCCTGGGCGACAGAGCGAATGCGCGCCCTCCGGCTCTCGCGGCTAGTTTACCTTGTGCCACGACTACCGCACCTCCGCCTGCCCCTCGAACGATACCTAGTAAGTATTGCTCAAACATGTATATGCGTTGTGCTATGTTTTTTTAACCATTACACTGCTGCAAACATTACAACATTGCGCCATTGGCGTCAACGAAACATTTGTAACAATGCACACCCCGCTCCCCCTATGCGACGCCCATCTATCCCAGATGTGGCGTCTCCTACTACCGCTTCCGTGGCGCCTGCTGGAGCGGATGCTTCCGCGGCTTCTCCCCGTCGCGCGCAGTCAACCCGCCGCTCGCCAACGTCCCGTGCCACAAGTGTGTCGCCCGGTCACTCGCCCTCGAGCTCTCGGCGGTCTGAACTGCCGCCAGCTTCGCTGGCGCCCGTCGGGCTTCCCGCCGCTGCCACCGCCTCGGCGTCCCCTTCGCAGTCAGGAATCGTCGGTGCGCACCCTGGTGTTGCGCTCCGCGGCGGAGGTGTCTCCCGCCGGCCTCGGCCTGCGCCTGCAGAGGAGGAAAACGAAACAGATGCTCAGGGAGATGGCAGCCGTACTCACATGAACGCAAGCGACTCTGTCTTATGCGCCGAAATTGCAGGAATCATTGCACAGTCGGTCAAAGGGGCTATGCGGGACCAGTTCGATGAGTTTTGAGAACGTACCCAAGACCTGGTTGAGAAGAATCAGGATGCCCGAGCCGCCAAGAGGCGTAGAAATACGCCGCCAAGCGAGCTCGACGACGGGTCGGAGTAAAACCCTCATCGTGCGGCGAGAAATGAGGCGCGTCGGCCACAGGGCCTTCGAGCCACCACGTGTTACGCTGGCGCGGTTCTTCCTGGCGGTGTCGGAAACCGAGGCACAAGTCAATGTTGTGAAGCACAATGCACGCGGCGACGACCTGGGGGGCGCGGAACGTGTCGCACTCGAGGCGCCCGTCAAGAATGCGCCACTTGGTCTTCAGCCGCCCGTTCACCTGCTCCACGATCATGCGGGTACGGGACTGCTGCAAATTCCAGACGCGCTGCTCGTCGGGAAGCGCGCGACCGGGAAGGGCACGATAGGGGGTGTAGATGTAGGGCCTTAGGCCGTACGCAGCGTCAGCCACAATAGTGTAGTCTAGAATCCCGCCTTCTTCGATCTTGATGCGTGCAGGGCTGTTCATGAACACACGAGCGTCGTTGACGCTTCCGGGGTAGCCAACAAAGAAATCCCAAATTAGGCCCATGCTATCACAAATAAGTTGGCAAATAATTGAAAAAAAGCCCTTTCGGTTTCTGAAATCTTCACAATGTGGGCCCATGCCGCGGCAATGTATGTATGTGCCGTCCATGGCACCCACAACGCCAGGAATGCCTGCTTGTATGCGAAACTCGGTCTCGAACAATTGAAGCATGTCCAGGTTGGGCCACACGACCCACTTGGGCAGGAGCACTTCGTTGATGAACCACACGAACTGAGTGAACAGTTTCTGGGAGTGAGAGTAGGAGTAACCAAAGTGTAGCCCAATTTCTCGAAAGGTCAGTCCATGACCGAGCCTGCTAAGACCCATGGCGACGAACACAAAGTTATGCACCGGGTGCCTAGTGGTTGCAAAACGGCTGCGCTGATACTGGCGAACCAAGTAAACAAACACACGTTTGTCGACGCGCAAATACTCATAAAAATTGGTCTCGGGCAGGGAGGTTATCAGACGGAACCACCGCACACGTGCGTCAAGCCGGTCGCCACGCACAAACACCCGAGTCTGCCTCAAAGTGTAGGCAGCGACAAGGGTGGGAAGAACCGCGCCAACTGCGTTGAGAAGGGGGAGCATGACCAACTGGAGGTACCCTTGCCACACGATGCCCAAAAATCGGACGAGCTGGAGGATAGTCATGTTTGGGGAATGACGAGAGCTCCAGGTGGGCGACAGCCTCCGATATTTGTACCCCCGAATTGAAGTTGAGCTGGAGGTCTATGCTATCCGAAACCGAAGCGCAAGTCGGCCGCGTGGCGCACTGTCAAGACGTCTGAACCGGGTAACCTACTTTGTAGAAATGCGGTTCGGTTCGTTTCTACAAGTTCGAATACGCGCAGTCGACCTTGTATATGTGTGTGCTTTTCTGCAGTGTTGTGGTCCAGATGTGCGAACCTCGCTACAATGAAAGTCGAGTTTGGTTCGACATATGTTCATGTAGCACAACTCGCCCTTAAAATGTAAACTTCCAGAAATTCCTCCGATCACACGCGCCCTTATTGTGTCTGTCGGCGGGGACTTGAGAGTATTCTGAAATAGCATAAACAGCATTTGCGAATGCTCGTCTGAACAGAACCGCATTGTACTGAATCGAATACGAAATCGCGGGCTCATGTGCTTTGAGAAACTGGATAAGTCCACGTGGATTTACATCACTCGTCGGAGAAATTCCACCTCCTTTCTCGCATCGCACGGACAGACTCGCGTCGCGCTGTGTGCGACTCTGCGACGAACAGAATCCGAAGGAGCAAGCCTTTTGCGACATTGGAACGAGCAAACAAACTGCCTCGCAGACACGGTCACATGCGAAAATGTTTTCTCGAGGAAATCTGAAGGGGCGATTTGTGTGGACAGCATGACATTGGGTTTCCCTTTCCCAATCAGAGTGGATTTTTTGGTTCCTCCAACTTCCGAGTTCCCAACCTCCAAACCTTCCGACTTCTCCAATGCTCCCTTTTCTTTCGGGAAAATATGTCAATGGTAACTTACATGGGGCACTGTAACGCGTACGGATTTCAACGCAATTGGTAACTCGCTTAACGCGTTTGGTAACTCGCTTAACACGTTTGGTCACTCGCTTAACACATTTGGTAACTCTACACTAGCAGCCCATCACGCGAATGGTAACTACATGAAATTCCCGCCGAAATTGAGCCTGATTCTGGTTTTTCCCGCTCGCGTCAGAAAACATTGACGAATCCTGAAGCAGAAAACTCTGACACATTCTCCGAAATTCTGACAGGTTTCCGAAATTCTGACAGACTCTCCGAAATCCTGACACACTTTCCGATTTTCAAGCTAATTGCAAAAACGTAAGTGTTCTAAAAATCAGTGTTTATACACAATTGATATTCTGGTGCTCCTTCCGCAAACTGTAAGTACTTGTTTCTATCGTGCAGCCGGGGCAAACAAATCTATACCCCTTTCAAATGGCAGATAAATTTGAGAGCAACAACCTTAAACTTCTTGCGACCAGGCGTTTATGGTTCTTTATCTAAATTACGAAACATGTAATTCTCAAGAGAAGTATTTTTCCCACATGCAAAAATTCTCCAAAGTTGCATTAAGTATAAACAGTAAAATTTCCGAGGTCCTTTTGGGAATGTTTTTTAAATCGTTTTGCAAGTTCGCAATCATGCTATAGAAAAAAATAAAAATTGTACGAGCTACATATATGTAAAAAATGGCCCTGAAACTTTGTGGTCCGTGGTATTAGAACAAACGGGGTCCTTCAAATTCGCGGCGAGACTTGTTCAAAAGAATATTTCTGTGCGTAAAAGCTTTCAAACTGAATAAATTCCTTTTTTTTTCCGGCTCATTTCGGCGGGAATTTCATGTAGTTACCATTCGCGTGATGGGCTGCTAGTGTAGAGTTACCAAATGTGTTAAGCGAGTGACCAAACGTGTTAAGCGAGTTACCAAACTCGTTACGCGTGTTACCAATTGCGTTGAAATCGTTATCGTACGCGTTACAGTGCCCCATGTAAGTTACCATTGACATATTTCTTTCCCCACTTCTCGTTTTCCTTTTGCAAGAAATTCGGCAGCATTCGTGTTTCCTTCTAGAAGACAGTCCAGCACCACTCGTTTCTTTACTCCCTCCATAATAGCACACCGCGCGCTGCCATTTTCCGTCCCCATTACGCCTCTATCTCAGCCATTCAAGACGACCCTAGCTCTGTATTTTACCCCGACGTTCTTACAGCTACGATTTTCTTAATCGTGACAGGCACAGCATACGGTACACCTTACCTTATGTCTGCTGCAGTAATTGCGGCGTCACCTGCTTCGGCGGGTTGCGCCAGAGTTAGTTTACATACCGCTGGCTCCATGGCCGCGATTCGCTTACCGCAGGGGGCTCTCATGCCGCCCAGGCTGGGACCTTCTAGCGCGTTTTTAACTTCATCGCGCTTCCCATCATGCAACCGAAAGGTTGGCGTCCCTTCCCTTCCTAATCTTCCAGGTTTCGCCTTGCCCGCCCGCCAGCGCTCTCCGTCTGCCATCGTCAATTTAGTCGTTATTAGGCCCCTACTCTCTCCCGCGTGCTCTCCGTCCGCCAGATCCCTTGTAGTCGTATTTAGCCCCTTTCGTCCTTCCCTCTGGTCCCTGCTCCCGCGCAATCACTATTCCCATCCCCATCCCTCCCGCCTTTCCCCTCCCCTTCGTCCAAAATCAACTTCCCACGCAGAAAGCGCAGCAGACGTCGTCGTGCGCACATGGCTGACAATTCCTGTTTCCTCCCCTCCTTCTACACCCCCTCTTCCCCTTTCCACCTCTCCCTCTCGTTTCCAGTCGTCATCTTTCAAGCCTCACTCCATTCTCCAGGCGATAGCGCCCCACGCGCAGTCGCAGGCGAGCGTCGCAACGGTCGTCGACCAATCACGGAACAGCAGCGACGACGGGAATGTCAACGACGGGAGTTTCGGCGAGTCGGAGTTGGAGGCGCGGCGGAATCAGTGGGAGGCGGAGCGGCTGCGGCTGATCAAAGACGCGACGGCCGCGGCGGTGTCGTCGTACGAGGAGCGCATCGCGCGGATCGAGGTGGATCAGACGGCTGAGATTGCGACGATGCGACGCGTGGCGGAGATCGAAGGGCAGGTCATGCGACGACAATCGCAGGAAATGTCGGGATTGAGGGTGAGTGAATAAATTGGTCATATAGGAATTGAGGAAATGCTAGGGTGAAAAGCAAGTGACCGAACGAGCTAATGGGACTGGGAGGGGGATTAGTGTGGCCCCGGCAAAGGAAACGTCCTGACCCGAACGCGCGCTTGTCGAATGACGGAGTGGTGGAGTGGACTGGAGTGGGGCGGAATGAAGAGGATTGGGAGAGCACGGAGGAGGAATGGAAGAAAATTGAAGAGGATTGGGGAAGGAGTGAGGGGGAATGGGGGCGCCACAGAGTCAAGGATTTTCTCAAATGGGGTAACCGAATCGCCCAAGTAAACTTCTCAAGCGAGTTCTATTTTTACTTAACCACAACATTTCCTCGTGCGCCTACATGCGTTTTCAGGAGGAAATCGAGGCGCTGACAAACGAGTTGGTTCTGACGAAAGAGGTCACCGAGCACGTGATGAAGCAGCGCAGCCGCCGCGAGGAGGAGCTTGCGGAGATTAAAGCGCAGATCGCGGCGCAGGTTAAGAAGGTCGAGGAGGAACGGGCGCTTTACGCGGGCGCGCGGAAGGCGCTAGCCGCGGAGTGGGGGAAGGTGCGCGAGACGCGGGGGAGCTGGAGCGGAGGCGGGTAGAGGTGGAGGAGGAAAGGGCGAAGCTGAAGGCGGAGGTTGCGCGGGTGGAGGCGGAGGAGGAGGAGGCGGAGGAGGAGAGGCGCGCGGAGGAGTGGGCGCGGCTGCAGGGGGATGTGAGTAGAGCGGAGGAGCTACAAAGGAGGGAGCAGGAGGAAGGGGAAGTGCGGGAGGGGCGAGGGTACCAGGCAGGGGAAGCAGCTGGGTCAGAGACGGCTGTTTGGCTTTCTGCTGCTTTGGAGGGGTAAGTGTGGGTGAAGAACTAAGTGTGGGGAAAGAGAGAGGACAGGCGTAGGAAGAGGGTCGGAGGAGGGTCGGAGGGTGAGGGTGGAAGAGGGTGGAAGAGTGTAGGAGGGTGAGGTGGTGAGGATGACAGTGGAAGGGAGATGACAACACAGTTGAAACATGGCATGAGAATGCAGTATGGAGAAGAATGAACCTGAGAACACAGCGCGAAAATAGTGAATGTGGAGTAGCTTATATTCCCCCCTTACCCCTGCCTCCCTCGCATTGCATCAGGATGAAGACTGAGAGGGAGCAGCACCAGCCTTAAGTGGCAACCGCCATGGCAACCGCAGCAGAGCTCTCAGGTCGTGTTGCTTCCTTCGAGTCTTCCTTACTGGAGACCCGCCGAGCCATAGAGACCACCAGAGCCTCTCCTTCCAGGCCAAACCCCGGGCAGAAGAGAAATCCTCAGAACTCCTCCCTTAACCCTTTCTTCTCATGCCTCCCTTGCCTCGCATCAGGATGAAGTCTGAGAGGGAGCAGCACCAGCCAGAGGGGGCAACAGCCATGGCAACCGCAGCAGAGCTCTCAGGTCGTGTCGCTTCCTTCGAGTCTTCCTTACTGGAGACCCGTCGAGCCATAGAGACCACCAGAGCCTCTCTCTTTCAGGCCAAACTCCGGGCAGAAGAAAAATCCGCATTTTTTTCTTCCCGTTTTTTTTTTCTCTCTCTCTCTCTCTCTCTCTCTCTCTCTCTCTCTCTCTCTCTCTCTCTCTCTCTCTCTCTCTCTCTCTCTCTCTCTCTCTCATGCCTCCCTCGCATTGCATCAGGATGAAGACTGAGAGGGAGCAGCACCAGCCAGAAGTTGCAACAGCCATGGCAACCGCAGCAGAGCTCTCAGGCCGTGTCGCTTCCTTCGAGTCTTCCTTACTGGAAACCCGCCGAGCCATCGAAACCACCAGAGCCTCTCTCTTTCAGGCCAAACTCCGGGCAGAAGAAAAATCTGCAGTTGTGCGGGAGCTTCGCTCGCAGCTGGAGAAGGTGGAGCAGGAACGGGAATCGGTCGACGTGGAAAGTTTTCGGGAGCTGACCGCACAGTTGGCTGATGCGAGGAGGATTTTGGAAGAAGAGGATCGGCAGCAGAAGGAAATGGCGGCGCTGCTCGGGAGAATGACGAAGGAAATTCCAGGCTTGGAAATGCAGCTGGCTGAGGTTCGGGAAGCCCTGGCAGAGGAGAGGAAGGCTCGGGAGCAAGAGGTTGGGAACCTGCGAGAGTCAGTGGCGGTGGCACGGGCCGATGCCGCAGAGGCTCGGGTTAGATTGGTTCGTGCCGAGGCTCCTCTGGTTGCAGCTTTGGAGGAGGTGCGGAGACGGCACAAGGAGGAGGTTCGGGAGCTGGAGGCAAGATTGGAGAAGCTAGTGGTTCGGGAGATCGGGGCGAGGCGGCTACAGGGTCTTCAAGAACAGGTGAATTGCTGATTATGGCTTTGTTGGGGGGAGGGAGGGGTGGTGGGAGTTGGGGGAGGGGGGGAGGGAGGGAGGGAGAGAGAGCAGAGGGGGAAGATGGGGGATCAGGGGAGAGAGGAGGTGGGGTGAGGGGGGAAGATAGCAAAAGAGTTGGGAAAAGACGGGAGCATTTTGTTTTCCTGTCATTGCTTGCATCAACTAAAAGGGTGTGCACTTGTTATGCAGGTTGATGACTACATGGCTCAGATTAAGAAGGTAGATCAAGCTATAGAGCGTGTTGTTTCAAGGTAAAATAATGTAAAGTGGTTAGCCATGGAGCATAGTTTGCTGTTGCGAGCGAGTCCTGGAATTTGCTAGAGACATTGATTGTACATGTGATGTTAAGTTTTGTTATATACCCTGCTTGCTGTGTGTTCTAGTGTAGCTACAGTGGTGGTGCACCAATGTGCTCACCTTTCTTTGCTATATCTTGTAACCTTGCTGTAGTGAACCTCACCTTCCTGTTTCTCTCGCTCACGCTACCCCAAACCCTAAGGCTACTATTCTAACATGGTACAGAGCTGGTTCTTTCCCGGAACCTTCTCTTTTTTTTAAGAATCATGGGCCCGCCCGTACTACAGCGCGAAATGCGCTATTTTTTTTTTCTCCCCGTTCGCCCGTCGCGCGCGCCCTGCCCGTCCCCCCGAACGTGCCACGTCGGCTGCCTCGCGGACGCCCCGTCGGCTGCCCCGCGGACGCCCTGCCCGTCGCCCGCTGCCCCCCCGTTTCGTCGCCACGCGGCCCCCATTTCGTCGCCACGCGGCCCCCGTTTCGTCGCCCCCGTCACCCCGCAATCCGCCAGCGCGGAGGCCAGCGCCGCGGCCAGCCGCCAGCGCCAGCAGCAGCTACCGCCGCCCCCCCCCCCCCCCCCCCCCCCCCCGCCCTCCCTTCCGCGGCTTCCGTCGTGGGGAGGGGGGAGGGAGGGGGAAGGGGTTGTGGGGGGGGGGCGGGTGTGAGGAGCCTGCCACTCCTCCCTCCCTTCCCTCTTCCTCTCTCCCTGCAGCAACTGTTGCTGTAGGGGGGGGGGGGGGAGAGAAGTGCAGAAGGGTGAGGGGGTGGCGGGAGAAGACAGGTGCGGAAGGTGTGAGGTTGACGGGGTTGAGTGACGAGGGGGGTGAGGACTAAGGGGTTCTTAACGGGGGGGGATCGCATTGAGCGTGCGCGCTCATGCCCGCCTAGCCCACCTCCTCTCCTCATCGGGACTTGGGGGTTCTTAACGGGGGGGGATCGCTATGAGCTTTCGCGCTCAAGCCCGCCTAGCCCACCTCCTCTCCCTTCCCTCTCTCACCTCCCCTTTGTAAAAGGAGGTTCGTAAGCGGGTCCGCCGGTCCTGGCCCCCCACCTCCTCTCCTCTCCTCTCCTCTCCTCTCCTCTTCTCTCCTCTCCTCTCCTCTCCTCTTCCTAACCTCTCTACCCTCTTCCGCTGCGCCACGTGTACCTGTACTAGTTATCACGGCAAGCAGGTTAAGGGGGTGTGTTAAGTTTTGTTATATATGTCAAACATATGTTATATTGTTTATATCTAGGCTGTAGTGGGTTAGATACTAGAGGGTATAGGGTTGTTTCTTGTACCTCTCGAACTTCTCCTAGTGCAACTTTTCTCTCGACTCTCACATGGTATAGAGCTTAGGTTCCTACCACGGGCCCACCTTTTCTTTTTTTTTTACCTGCCCGAGGCGCGCTTTGCGCCCTGCCCGAAAATTTCGCGGCCTCTTAGAGGCCTGCCCCGTTAAGGAGCGTCGCGGCCCCCTCTAAGGCCCGTTCGCGGCGCTTCGTGTTCTCCCCTTCGCGACGCCACGCGACCCTTTCGCGGCCCCTTGAGGCCCTTACGCGTCGCGTCGCGGCCCCTACGCCGCCCTTCGCGGCCCCTTCGCCGCCCTTCGCGGCCCCTACGCGGCTCATTGGGGTCCCTTCGTGGCCCCGTCGCGGCTCCCTCACGGCCCCTTCGCGGCTCTTCCGCCGCGCTTCACGGCCCTGTCGCGGCCTCCTCCGCAGCTCGTCGTCACCAGCTGCCGCCGCCCTGCCACCTTGCCGCCGCCTCGGCAGCACCTGCCGCCGCACCTGCAGCTACTGTCTCTCGCGCCTCGGACGTCGCCGCTCCTGCCGTGACGACCGCCGCCACTGCTGCCGTCCCAGCTATCGCTGCTACTGCTGTGACAGCCGCTGCCGCTGCTGCAGAGACAGCCGCCGCCGCCGCTGTTCGTCGGAGCCACCGCCGCCGTCCCGGCCCTGTTCTGCCGCCCTTTCGCGGCCCTGACCTTGCTCGAGCGCCTCGGCCCTGCCCCACCACCTTTGGCCTTCTCTAGCCCGCCCCTGGTAAGCGCATCGCCGAGTCGCGCCTCAAACTGCTACTACCTCACCTTGCTTGCTTTCTCTGCTGCTGCTAGCCTGCGTCGCCTGCTGCCATGGCTAGCCCTGCTGTGCTTACCTTCGATGCTGAGGGGCGAGCGATAGATTTTGAGGTCTGGCTTGACGACTTGCAGCTGTTCCTGCAGTGTGATAGCAAAGACGATGTCTCGCTGCATGACCTCACGTCTGGTGCTTCCCCCCAGCCTGCTACTGATGCTGATGCTACTGTGCGCTCTCGCTGGAACACTCGCGATGCTGCTGCCCGCCTTGCTGTGCGTAGTCACCTGCCGTCTGCTGAGCGTGCGCACTTCACTCAGTTTAAGACCGCTAAGACCCTGTTCGATGCTGTCGTTGCACGCTACTCCTCCCCTGCCTCTGCTGCCCTTAGCCGCATCATGCTGCCCTACCTTTTCCCTGACCTCGCTGCCTTTGCTACAGTTGCTGACCTCATTACGCACCTCCGCACTAGTGACACTCGCTACCGCGCTGCGCTTCCTACTGAATTCTGCGCCAAGAACCCCCCCCCCATGTACATCACCCTCTACTACCTAGTCACCCGTCTTCCTGACTCCCTTCGCTCAGTCAGGGACCACTTCCTAGCTCTCTGCCCCACCACACTCACCGTTGACCTCCTCGAGAAGGAGCTCCTTGCAGCCGAGCAGAGTATAGCCGCTGTCGGAGCCTCTCGCGGTGACCCTCGCACCCCTATCTTTGAGGGGTGCTCCCCTGTTCCCCTTTTGCCCTCTGTTGCCTCTGCTGCTGCTGTCGACCTCCTTGGCACTGAGTCGGTCGGAGCTGCATCTGCCCCTGGCGGGAGGCGCCGCAACAGCAAGGGCAAGGGAGGCAAGGGTGGTGGAGGAGCTGGCGGGGGTGGTGGTGGTGGCGGTGGGGGCGGCCGGGGGGGTGGGGGTGGAGGTGGGAGTGGGGGCGGGGGTGGGGGCTCTGGTGGCGGCGGTGGAGGCGGGGACAGTGGCAGCGGCGGCGGTGGGACTGGAGGAGGTGGAGGTGGCGGCGGAGGCAGTGGAGGCGGCAGTGGCGGGGGTGGCGGTGGTACTGGTCGGGGTGGCTCGGTGCAGAGGGGAGGCTCCGGTGGTGGACAGCGTCCGCAGCAGCAGCGCTCTCGTGAGGCCCCGCCGCCGCAGCAGCTTCACCAGTGGTACGCTGGGCGTCAGCGGCCTGGGGGTGCTGGTCCCTGTACGTACTTCTTTCGTACTGGTGACCGCACTGGAGAGCAGTGTGGAGGCGCGCACACCACTCAGCGCTGCTTCGGTCGCCTGACAGACGCCTGGCGTCTTAGGTTCCCTGAAGCCACTGAGCTCCCTCGCTGGCATGAGCTGCTTAGGTCGGGCGTTGCTATCTTTGATCTTGACTATGATGCTATCCTTGCTGCCATGTATGTTATGTCTACTAGTGATGACGGTGACTGTTACCTGAGTGTTCCGCCCGACCCGGGCGGTGCAGCTTTTGCTCTAGGTGCTAGTGAGTCTGCTGCTCCAGGTGCTAGTGAGTCTGCTGCTCCAGGTGCTGGTGAGTCTGCTCTCTCAGGTACCACGTCGGCTCAGGCGTCGCACACTTTCACCCTTGACTCGGGTGCTTCCCGCTCCTTCTTTCGAGACCGCACCACTCTTACGCCGCTCAACCGGCCGGTTGCGGTCTCCCTGGCAGACCCCTCTGGGGGTCCTGTCCTTGCTCACTACTCCACTGTCCTGCCGTGTCCAGCTGTCCCGTCTGGCTCCTTGTCCGGTCTTTACCTCCCCTCGTTCTCTACGAACTTGGTGGCGGGTGCTGACCTACAGGATGGGGGAGTTGACCAGTTCACTCCTGCGCGTCAGCGGGTGACCCACTGCACGTGTGCTGACACGGGCCGACACTTGGCCACGTTTACTCGTCGGCCGGGGTCGAGCCTGTACACACTGACTACCGAGTCTCCGCCGGTTGCTGTTCCTGGTCAGGTAGCTGCGTCGGGTCAGGTGTTTGCTGCAGCGTCTCGGTCTGGTCCTGAGTCTGCCCCCTGCTCGTGTCGCCTCCTGTCCCATGAGACTCTTCTCTGGCACCACCGTCTTGGTCACCCCTCCCTGCCTCGTCTCCGAGGCATGGCCTCTCGTGTCCTTGTCTCTGGTCTCCCCCGGTCTCTCCCTCCCCTCCCTCCGGGGCCTGCCCCTACCTGCGTTCCCTGCGTCGAGGGGCGGCAGCGCGCCGCTCCTCACTCCTCCGAGTTTCCGCCGACAGAGGCTCCGCTGCAGACTCTTCACATGGACGTGTGGGGCCCAGCCCACGTCCGTGGACAGGGTCACGAGCGCTACTTCCTGCTGGTGGTTGACGATTACTCGCGTTACACCACAGTCTTCCCCTTGCGCCGCAAGGATGAGGTCACTGAGGTGTTGATCGACTGGATCCGCGCTGCTCGTCTCCAGCTCAGGCAGAGTTTCCGCTCTGACTTTCCTGTTTTGCGTCTGCACTCCGACAGAGGTGGGGAGTTTTCCTCAGGCCCTCTGCGAGCCTACTGTCGTGCGAGGGGCATCCGCCAGACGTTCACGCTTCCGGCCTCTCCGCAGCAAAATGGGATTGCTGAGCGCCGCATTGGCATGGTCATGGATGTCGCTCGCACGTCCATGATCCATGCGGCTGCTCCCCATTTTCTGTGGCCGTTTGCGGTTCAGTACGCGGCGCGTCAGATCAACCTTCAGCCCCGGGTCTCCATGCCGGGGACCTCCCCCACTCTGCTGTGGACGGGGAAGGTTGGCGATGCGTCTGCGTTCCGTGTCTGGGGATCTCGGGCTTTTGTCCGAGACTTGTCTGCGGACAAGATGTCCTCCCGTGCTGTTCCCTGCGTCTTCCTTGGCTTCCCCCCTGACGCGCCTGGCTGGCAGTTCTACCACCCCACCTCGCGCCGTGTTCTGTCC